AACAGTTTAGGGTGAGTATAGGTTATTTTAATCTTAAGATTAAACTAAATTAGGAATCTCAACAAGATTTACAGCCCGAAAACTCATAAATTCAACCTTAAATCATATAATTATTATGAATAAAAAGTAAACAAATATAATAAACAAAGAATTTATGAATGTTTGATATGAAGCTCTTTGATCTTGGTAGACCAAGGGTTGATATTGGATTTTGGGCTAACGATGTTCATAGAAAAGAAGATCGCAAGTAGCATGAGGTCACTACACGCGATAGGGTGTCATAGAGCCAAATGAGGTAGTAAGTGTGCACAGTAATAACAAAAAGATTAGGGTTTTCAGATGCGTACTTGTGAGGTGAAATTTGTTGAGTTATGCTCTTTCACTTAAAGCACAATTAGGCTCAATGTGTGAGAAGAGATCAAATAGCCTAAGGCTAGAGTTTCTTAGTACCCATTTATATTCTCACTTTTAGCCATTAGCCTCCAGTGTTGTTGCCGCGATTTTGGCTAAGGTAAGGTCATTCCTGATAGTGAGAGAGTGCACATACGCCATCCCCAGTCACCTCTTAAGGATAGTCTAGAAGGTCTACCAGAAGTCAATTTTAACAAAGAGATTGTTCGTGCTGGGATGCTGACCAAGCCAGATAGTGAAGGCACGCTTACGCAAGGAGAATCTTCTCAGATCTGTGCTACAAAAAGGTAACCTTCTATGATACCAAAACCATGATGATCTGGTACATTTCAAACCACAAACGATATTAACGCTTCCGCAGATCCAATTGCGCCTACAATTGATATCAGAGCCGGATTATGCGTTTGGGTGTGAATCTACTTTTGGTTTTTTTTCATGTAATTTAGTTAGCTTCGTGAAATATAGCACCTATGGTTCTGTATTTGTTATTATATATTTGGCATGAGTATATCTTTTATAGTTCGTTCCTTTAAAAATTTATGCTTTTATACTATTTTGCCTTTAATCTATGGTAGAAATTTCATTGTATTTTCTTGGGTTGTAACAAGGTGGCTAATCCCTTATGATTAGGTTTCCTACTTAAGTTTTTATTTCAAATTTTGTATTTTTTTTATATCTTGTAATATCAAATTTGAAAGAACATCAAAAAAGCAACAAGATCGGTGGGGCTTGTCATGATTATTTTATTAATGGTCCTATAGTGCGCTTGGAGGTTAAATTAATTTCTTAATTTAAATCTCCTCCCATTCAACATAAGCAATTTTTCAATTTCCTAGAATTGTGCAATTGAGAGTAACTTTTGTTTGATTTCAAAAACTATGTAAGCAAACGTGCTGATGAACGTGCATCGCTGAACTTATCGGAATTTTGAAATCACTAAGGTCCTGAAATCCGGTCATGATAGGTAGCGTGTGCTCCACACAATCATCATACAAGATTGTGGTATGCATCGTGTGTTTAACACATGACCATTTTAGAAGACCCACAATTTACTCGCAAAGTAAACAGTTCTATTAGGAAATTTTATGAATTATTTGCCTTGATTTTATCATCCAAAAATAATTAATTCAATTATTAATCAAGATTTAAAAAAAAAATAATTAACTATTTTTTAGAATAATATCAAAATCAAAATAATCTCATAATAACTATCATACTAGTCGCTTAAAGATGAGGAGTTTGTGTCTGCATTAACGGCTGGACAAGTAATTTTATCTTATGATAATTTAATGACTTTAGTTTTTGATGACTATTTGTTTGTTCCGAATTTGAAGATGAATTTTATTTATGTTAGTTTGTTTGGGTAAACATGGTTTTACAGTACAATTTAATTCCTCAGTTTCAATAAGAAGTTCATCTTCTTTTATTTATTCTGGTACATTTTATGGTCTTTATTACTTGAGTAATATATCCCATTGATTAGTTATGTTAAATTAAAAGGATTACAAACAAAGAAATAAAGTTCCAATTGAAACATATCTTTGGCTTTTGCGACCGGTCATATTACCTCAAATAGGAAACATGATTTAGTTAAAAGAGGGATTGAAAGTTCCATAGTTTTTGAACTAAAAGCTACATATAAGTCATATTTAGAAGGAAAAATGACCAAGCAATCGTACAAGATCAAAGGCATTTGTACAACTATTCAACTAGAATTGGTACATACTAATGTATATGGACCAATTAACATTCAATCCATAAGAGGTTATAAGTACTTCATTATATCAACGTTTAGTTCGGATTTGGACTTGTGAACCTAGTGCGTTATAAATCTGAAGCTTTTGAAAAATTTCAAGACGTTTAAGTCTGAGGCAAAGAAATGTATCTAAATGTTCAAATCAAAACACTTCGGTTTAACTGAGGTGGTGAATACATGTCTGGAAAGTTCAGGTCTTACGTGATTCAAGAAGGGACTGTTTTCACAATTGTCAACTCTAGGAACACATTAGTTAAACAAAGTTGGAGTATGCAGAAAATAAATATTTTTATACTTGGTGAAGTCTATGTTCAGTTATTCATCCTTGCCAATATTGTTTTGGGGAGATGCCTAGGAAAAGGCAATCTACCTTCTTAACTTGGTTTCGTCAAAGTCTATTGTAAAGACACCTATAGAATTATGGAAAGGGTGCAAGCTCAATTCAAACCATATTCAGGTTTAGGGTGCTTTGGCACATGTCTTACAACAACGATCAAATAAGATGAAATCTTGTACGAAAGTGTGTGTATCTTTTGGCTACCCTAAGAGAATCAAGAGTTGGATCTTATTTAATCCAAAAGATAAGATGATCTTAATGAGCACTCACATAACTTTCTTAGAAGAAGACTATATGAAAAATTATAAGCCCATGAGTAAGGTTATTCCAAGTAGCCTAGGACTAGGGTTTCTTTGTACCCATTTATATTCTCATTTTTAGCCATCAACCTCCAATGTTGTTGCTGCAATTTTAGCTAAGGTAAGGTCATTCCTGATGGAGAGAGAGTCCCCACACACCAGGGTCGATCACCTCTTAAGAATAGTTTAGAAGATTTGTCAGAAGCCAGTTCCAATAAAGAAATTGTTCGTGTTGGGACGCTGACCAAACCAAATGGTGAAGGCATGCTGCCCAAGGAGAATCTTCTCATATTTGTGCTACAAAAGGTAACCTTCTATGAAACCAAAATCTTGATAATTTGGTACATTTCCAAACCACAAAAAGTCTTAACGCTTATGCACATCTAATTGCGCTTACAAAACTCATTTTTTGTAAAAGGTTCCTTATTCGAAGGTGATTTGGGTTGCACAGTATACCGAGTTGCGAGGGACCCATTAAGCAATTCCCTGTATCTAGTATCACATCCTGCTTATGCGAGTAGAGTAAAATTCCTCATTAGTAGTATAATATTTTTAATAAAATCATTAATTGTTAATGTTTTTGGTTAATAAAGGTATGATGATATCTCAGGGAGGAACCAAACCTTCGACATGTGAAGATCTCCTGCTTTTGCGGCTAGTGGCTGTCCTAGCGTGTATATAAAAAATCTCCTTTATTTTTCTTTTTGATACTTTTTCATAGGTTAAGAATCAAATACTAATTTTTAATGACATGAAGAAAGGTCGAACCTTTTGTTTTTTTGGTTTGTTTCTTTTAGACATGGAGCAAGTTGGAACTTAATTTTAGGGGGAATGATTGTATGACACGAGTAATACAGGAGTAATCAGATAAAATAAAAAATAAATAAATAGAGGAACTCCTAATTTATGAGCGAATAATAATTGATATTCTTTTGCATACAGAAAATTAAGAAGATAATAGAAACATATCCATTATTAACTATAGTCATTATTACAACTATTTCATTAATCTATGATTATGATATTCAAGTTTAGAAGCGTTTGGGCCTAGAGAATCATTGATATCATGTTTCATAAACGGCTTTTCTGGTCTTGTGGGTCCAAGCATCTGCGAAGAAGATTCCCCAAAAAAGGGCAATACATCATTTTTGTTTTTTTTTTTTTAAAAAAAAAACCTTCATAAGAGTAATAATTAAATTTTTTATGACCCAAGTAATCTCCACATTCATTTCAAAGTTTCAAACATAAAGTTGATGGCCAGTCCAATAATAATGATAATACTAATAAAATTCACCCAAATTAGTTGATTAACCAACGTAAAAAATTCATAGCAATATATTGTCATACTAGGTAACATAAATAGGTTACAAAAGAGAGTTTCAAAACTCATGTATGATCATCTTCTTTCAATTTATTCAAGTTTATTATTTAAATACTAACTTTAGCATTAGAATGCTTTGCCGGTACTCATTCCATCTATTTCAAACAAACAAACTTCTATACTATTATCTCGCAGATATCAACTTATGTAATAGAATAACAGATCCCATCATAATCATCCTTCAGTCATCACTTGAACCAGACTTAACTATGTGTGATCAGACTCAATTTCAGAATTCAGACTGAGCAGTAATATTTATTTTAGCCATTATTTTAAGGTGAAGGTCCGTTTACAAACTTTTGTAACAAATTTTTGCAAATTGCATTATCTTCTTCCGGAAGAACATAATAGAACTTAGTATTCTCTTGGAAAAAGATAATATAGTTTGTAAGAATTTGTAAACAAAAAAAAAAAGTTTATAAATATAACCTGCCCGTTATTTTAAAGTGTGCAAATTTGATCAATATACCAAAATTAAGTGATAATAATAATAATATTATATTCGGTTACTTAAATGAAAATATGTGAAGATTACCCGAAGATAGAACCTAGTCATGTGTGGTTATTGTTACTGTTATGAAGAAAAGCACGCCAATTGCAAATTTTGAGTGGAACGTAAGGTGGCTTTGGGGCCCAAAGTTTTAATTACAGGAAGGAATATTGTCTAAAACACTATCATGTCATGTAATTAAGCAAAGTTAACCTTGTTTTTGTTTTAAGTATTTTTTTTTAAATAGAGTACCCTACTTCTTTAATGAGTTCTTTTAACCATGCCTGTCTGTGATTGATTGCTTCAGTCTATATTTCATGTCGGCTTGTTGACATAAAGCAAAAAAAAAAAAAAAAAAGGTGTCTTGCTTTTGTTCAGACCCTCTGAATTCTCGGCGACAAGTCAGTTTTCTCAACTTTGGTCCTGGCGACATCACCCTGCTACCTTAATCCTCACGAAGTGAAGTTCCCCATTTTCTGCTTTTCCATTTTGGTTACTTCTCTTTGTCTCTGTGTTCCTGTGGTTTATGTTGATGATTATGGTGCCTTGAAGGTGGGTTCTGCTTGTCATGTTTTATTTTTATGCTGGGGATGAGTTTTTGTTTAAGTGGCTTTTTTTTTTTTGTTTATATTGTTTGGAGTCACTGTTGAAATGGTTGTGGTACACAGATTTTGGCTTCTTGGGCACCATAAGCTTCACTGGTTTTCCATGCTTTGTTGATGCTGAGGTTGATTCAGATACAAAGTTTCGCTTTTTGGGGAGGAAATTTCACATGTGATCTATGAGCTTGATTCCTTGGATGTTGGGTGAGTAAATTGCAGATTGCAGAAAGTGAAGGCTTTGTGTTGAGTTTCTTCTAGTTGTTGAAATTGGAATTTGTGTGGGGTTGAAGCTAACAATTAGTTGCATTTTTTCTGGGGAAAAGGGTGAACTTTTTGTTGATTCTGCTACATGTTATTAGACAACTTTGGGGAAGGCACCAAAGGGGATTCATCATATTTTTGTTTGTTTCTGGGGAAGTGCTGCTGCTATTGTTGGACATGAGTTGATGTTAGAATTGTGTTGTTGTGGAACACTTGGGGAACAAGATTAAATCTTGGTGCTAGAAAAAGACCAAGTGTTGAATTTGTTTGGGGTCATCACTTTATAGGTCATAATGAAGGCTCCTTCAAATGGTTACTTGCCTAATTCTGGTGAAGGTGCGTTTTCTCAAGGTTTACTTGCAACCTCATTATGTTCTCTCTCTCTCTTGCTTTATGCTAGTTTTTTCCTGTTTCATCAAACACTAACATTGCTCATTGCTCATTGCTCAGTAACTCCTAGGATGATTTCTTTAAAAAAAAAATGATGCTTTTATCTTGCTGAATTAAATTAATAGCATTGTGTAGATCTAATAAATTTCTAACATATGAGTATATCGTGAAGGGAAGTGGGTATTCATCTGACTATGCAGTTGCTGATCTTTTGGTTAATTTTGTTGAGTTGTTTCTTTCTTCCCTGGACTGAATGAAAGTCATACCTTGGCTTATTACTTCATCTTTAATTTGCTGTATTTTCCCCCTCTTGTTTTTGTCACCTTTTATTCTTTTCTGTATGACCTCAAATTTATAAAGAAAGGGTTTCTTAGTGATATTTAATTTTTCTTCTCAGCTGTTTATATTGACTTACTTTTTCCATTTACAACCAATTAGGAAACTGAATCTACTGATAACAAGGTGAGAAGAATGACTAGGACAATATGCAAAATGTGCTCCTTTGTATCTGGCATTAAATGTGCTTTTGACAACTGTAAATATGTTCGCATTATAGTCTTCTTCAGCAACATTCTTGAAGAAACTTTTCTCCTTTTATACTCTGTAATCCTAAGCAACCTATATGCTGAAACTAACCCTTGCAATTTTTATTAGCACGGATTCTACTATTTCAGTCTTTATTCTTCTTTATTTCGACCCTTAATCATAAACAAGCATTAAAAAAATTGAATAGTTGAAATATTTGAATCTTTCTAGTCAACAATGTAACTTTATGTCTGTGCCTATAATAGGGGAAAGGAAGACAATCAATTCAGAGTTATGGCATGCGTGTGCTGGACCGTTGGTTTCTTTACCTCCTATTGGAAGTCTTGTGGTTTACTTCCCTCAAGGACACAGTGAGCAAGTATGTTTCTTATGCCATGATTCTAAGAGAGCGATAGTTATTCATTTTGGTTTCTGATGGAGTTTCTTTTGACTACTATTACTTTCAGGTTGCAGCATCCATGCAAAAGGAGGCCGACATCATACCTAGTTACCCTAACCTTCCGTCCAAGTTGATTTGCATGCTTCACAATGTTGCGCTACATGTAGGTGCACTTTCCTCATGTGACATGGCTGTTCTGCAATAACGAAAACTTATGAAGAAGATTTTTAAAAAATTATGATAACCAAACGAGATATATTCCATTCATTTTGAGATATTTTCCTTGAAGGAGCATGTGCTAATTTCTCTCCTTCTTTCTGATTTGAATTTTGGCTTGTCATCAGGATAAACTAGTTTGTTAGGAATGTGTTTTTCAAAGAAAACAGGTTGACATTTCTGCATAACATATATCTTATTACAAATCATGTCAGTTGTCTTAAGCCCAATCTTGGATGGTTGAATACTTTGCTAGCTGTGTTTTTGTTTTCTCGTTTGCCTTTCTTGGTGCATATGTATGGTCACCTCATCTAGATAATAGGTATAGACCAACCTGGGTGGATAGTTGGAAGTAATATTAGTACAAGAATATTACTTTCTCAAGCATTTGATATTATGATCCTTCTGATTTTTCTTATGTGAAAAATATATTACACAGTACATATATTGATATTCTTTTCTGTTTTGGATCAGGCTGATCCCGAAACTGATGAGGTCTATGCACAGATGACCCTTCAACCTGTAAATAAAGTAGGTTTGCTGTTCAATCTGATAATTTGTTGATATGTATCTGGGATATATTTCCCACCATTCCTTTGATATGCACCCAAACCAATGATGTGTAACTTATCAAAGATTGTTTGATGTACCTGTTCTACAGTATGACAAGGAAGCAATAATGGCTTCAGACATGGGTCTCAAACAAAGCCAACAACCTACTGAATTCTTTTGCAAAACTCTTACAGCTAGTGATACAAGCACTCATGGAGGATTTTCTGTGCCTCGTAGAGCAGCTGAGAAAATATTCCCACCTCTGGTGTGTAAACAACTTTTTCATTTACTCTGGCAAGGATTGGAAGAGTTTTATATGATCTTTCTATGCTGACCAGAAGTGTCTTTGATAGGATTTTTCAATGCAACCTCCAGCTCAGGAGATTGTTGCCAAAGATTTGCATGACACTACATGGACATTTAGACATATTTATCGCGGTATGGCAACTTTTACTTGTCTTTCGTTGCCTTCATCCTTTAATATATTATTATTTGTTTTATATATGCCTTATTGATGAACCAATAAGATTCATTCAATAGTTATCTAAACACCAGATGCATATGTGATCTTGTTGGTGGTGCAACCTCATTTTAGTTGAAGTAAACATCTCCCAGAAAAATTCTAAGGCTATTAATTAAAAATTAATATTTGGTCTTGGAATTATCTCTTAAGTTTTGACCAAATTATGAATAGAAGTTGCTTATTTGATGTTTTGTATGGGTGAATGCTGAAATTGCTAGAACACTGGTTACAGGACAACCAAAGAGGCATCTATTGACTACAGGTTGGAGTGTCTTTGTTAGCACAAAAAGGCTGTTTGCTGGAGATTCTGTTCTTTTTATCAGGTAAGGAATAATTTTTTTGGTGGAAACTTCAGGAATAATTTTCAACCTGTTGCTGAACCAATTATTTTTTGGTTATTTCTAGAGATGAAAAACAGCAACTTCTTTTAGGTATAAAGCGAGCTAATAGACAGCAGCCAGCACTGTCTTCATCAGTAATATCCAGTGACAGCATGCATATTGGCATTCTTGCTGCTGCAGCTCATGCTGCTTCAAATAACAGCCCATTTACTATATTTTATAATCCAAGGTATTATTTGGAATGTGTTTCCTATGATAACATGGAAAGGTATCCATTGAATATTTGTGACAGCCTCTTATGGACATCTTTCAATTTAACAGGGCCAGTCCCTCTGAATTTGTAATTCCATTGGCCAAGTTTAATAAGGCCATGTACACTCAAGTTTCCCTTGGAATGAGATTCAGAATGATGTTTGAGACTGAAGAGTCAGGAGTCCGCAGATATATGGGTACAATCACTGGTATCAGTGACTTGGATCCAGTCCGATGGAAAAATTCGCAGTGGCGCAATCTTCAGGTACTTTCAAAGCATTATATTTCATGAAGAAAGAGATATTATTTGCATAACTAGACATGATCATATGTTTCTGTCCACCCCCCCCCCCCCCCCCCCCCCCAAACAACTAAGTAATACTGTATGCTGTACTATAGTCTATACTTAACCACTCTCCTAGCTTATTGAGGCAGTCAAGTTTTGAATTTTTGATAGGTTGGATGGGATGAATCAACAGCTGGTGAGCGCCCAAGCAGAGTTTCGATTTGGAATATTGAACCAGTAGTGACTCCTTTCTACATTTGTCCACCTCCATTTTTTAGGCCCAAGTTCCCCAAGCAACCAGGAATGCCAGGTAGCAAGATCCCTACTTAACTAGTTCAAATATTATTCAGAAATTTCTTTTTGGCTTCCATTGGTTATCTCTAATTTGCTGTCTAACAGAAATTTTCTTGAGAGTATTTTCAGCTTGTAAACAATTCGTCTAAGAGAATATCTGTTTTTACTTTAATACACATATGAGGTGTTCGGAAATTCAATACGGGTTGTAGGACATACTATGATAAAACTGATGATTTTACTTGTAGATATGCGATTAGAGCCAAGAAGCTGCTTGTTAATAGAATTCTAGTTTACGTCCATTAAATCATTATGTTTATTTGAAATAGGTTTCTTAGCAAAGAAATTATTTTGCTAAGACATAAAATGACTTTGGTATGAATTTTCTTGTCCATTTCATTTCCCATTCACAAATACAATATGAGGTTCTACATAATGAGATAGGAGGTTATGGTCATTGTGTCTTGCTTCTTACACTGAGCCTTCAGCGGATCAATTTTATTCATTCAACCTGTCATCTCTTTTTGAAAAAAATTATATTAATTCATCAAACTAGTTGTCAATTGTTTTTAGAATAAACCGTTCTTCATAAGCCATTTCCTCATCATTAACATGATATCCAGTTGCTTCTATGTTGAAAGTATAATCTCATATCTAATAGCATTTTTGAAGTAACATATTTTGAAGAGTTACTTTCAGAAAACCCCTATGTTTCTCGCCTCTCCTCTTTTCCCTTGGATGTTGTTGTGTATAGATAGGTGGTAACAGACGACCTTTGTTAATGCTTTTGCAGAAGATGAATCTGATATAGAAAATGCTTTCAAGAGAGCTATGCCATGGCTTGGAGATGATCTTGGCATGAAAGATGCCTCAAGTTCAATTTTTCCTGGTTTAAGTTTAGTGCAATGGATGAGCATGCAGCAGAATAATCAGTTCTCTGCTGCTCAATCTGGGTTTTTCCCCCCATCTATGCTTTCATCTAATACCCTGCATGGTAATCATAACACTGAGGATCCATCCAAGTTATTGAGCTTTCAAGCCCCTGTCCTCTCTGCACCAAGTCTTCAATTTAACAAATCTAATCTTTCGAACCAAATCAACCAATTGCAACAGTCCCCAATGTCATGGCCTCAGCAGCAGCAACAGCAGCAGAAGCTGCAGTCATTATTGCCAACACCATTAAACCAGCTCCAACAGCAGCAGCAGCAACAGCAGCTGCCTGGACCACAAAACCTGCAACAACCTCAGCTGCCTCAACAGAGAGCACAGCAGCCACAACAACAGCAACAGCAGCAGTCATGTCAACAGGCCATTATGACTAATGGAGCAGTTGCTTCTAACCAGATTCCAAATCAGTGTGCACAGCAACCAGTTACCTACTCTCAGCTTCAGCAACATCAATTACTCTCTGGAAGTATCTCACCCCAACAAAGTATCCAATCAGCCAGTAAGAACACGTTGCTAATGACAACCTTACCACAAGACTCACAATTTCAGCAACAGATAGATCAGCAAGCTAGTCTCTTGCAAAGGCAGCAGCAACAAACACAGTTGCAACAATCTCAATTGCAGTTATTGCAACAAAGCCTGTCACAGAGGCCATCACAGCAACCACAAATGACTCAAATGTCTCAGCAAAACAGCTCAGAGCAACAACCACAGTTACAGTTGCTACAGAAATTACAACAGCAGCAACAGCAGCAACTCCTTTCCACATCTAGCCCACTTATGCAGTCTCAGCTTCTACAGCAACAAAGCACTCACCAACAAAACCAGCAATTACCGCAGCTTCCTCTATCACAGCATCTGTCTCAACAGCTTGGCAACAATGCATTCTCGATGGAGAAGATTCTCAATGGCAACAACTTCTCTTCTTCAGCTCTGATGCAATCACAGCAGCTCCCTATGAATCAACCACAAAATACACAGAAATCACTAACTAATACTAGAGCTCCCTCTACACTTACAGATGGAGATGCGCCATCATGCTCAACTTCTCCGTCTTCTAATAACTGCCAGATATCTCCTTCAAACCTCCTGAAAAGAAATCAACAAGTAACTGCCACATTAGGGGGCCCTTTGGTAGTTGAATCCACCAATAATCTAATACAGGAGCTTCAGAGTAAGTCTGACATGCTGATAAAACATGAATTACCCAGTGTAAAAGGACCTGACCAGCAAAGGTATAAAGGGACAGTTCCTGATCAGCTGGAAGCTTCTTCTGGAACATCTTACTGTATTGATCCCGGTAACATCCACCAGAACTTCTCACTTCCCAACTTCTGCATGGATGGGGATGTCCAATCACACCCTAGAAACAATCTACCATTTGCCTCTAATCTTGATGGATTAACACCTGATAATTTGCTTTCAAGGGGGTATGACTCTCAAAAAGATCTTCAAAACTTGCTGTCTAATTATTGTGGTGCTCCAAGAGACATTGAAACTGAGTTGTCAACTGCTGCTATTAGTTCACAGTCATTTGGGGTGCCAAACATGCCTTTTAAGCCTGGTTGCTCAAGTGATATTGCCATGAATGATACTGGGGTTTTGAATAATGGCTTGTGGGCTAATCAGACTCAACGAATGCGGACATATACTAAGGTTTGTCATCATTCATTTGAAAAATTTATAATTCTATTTAAATATAGTGTATTTACTGCATATATTTGGTGTCTTAATGTTTAATACAACGTAGAGAAGTAGGGATGTCCTGCAATTTTAAGACGGTGCAAGTCAAACATCATAGGGGTGCTTTTGTTCGATATATTTTAGTAGACCATGTGTTAAATGTACATTTGTCAGATCCATTTCCAATATTTTCCTATAGAGATTGTCTGAGATTCTTAGTTTGACTATTGGGAAACCTCCCACACTGCCACAGGTAGTTTTTTCTCTCTTTATAGTATGTACTTCATCTGTTTGCTATTCTGATGCTGCAAAATGAAGGGAATTCTAGATGAACGCTTTCAGTTGCATTTTCAGTAAGCTTAAACTTATTTTATTTTTAGCATGCCATCCATACGATGATGATCTTGCATTTAGCCCAAATTTGCTTATGTGACTTTGCCTAAGGATTTTCAGTTTGACACAACCATTGCAAGTAGATTTTGTTTTTCTGAGAGCCGCTCACTAACACTCAGACAGTTTTATAATAAAATCTGAATATGCTTGTTTTGAAATTATTGAGTTGTATATGTAAACTTCACTGAGTCATTAATAAATGATAAGCAGCACTTTGTAGTACTTCTTAACCTGTATTGTCCTTTGAGACTATTTGATATAAAGTGGATATCTCTTAACTAATCTCTAATGCTAGATACTGCTTTCATATTTTGAAGGTTCAAAAATGTGGCTCTGTTGGAAGATGCATTGATGTCACCCGTTACAAGGGATATGATGAACTCCGGCATGATTTGGCTCGCATGTTTGGGATTGAAGGGCAGCTAGAAGATCCTCAAAGGACTGACTGGAAACTAGTATATGTGGATCATGAAAACGACATTCTTCTTGTCGGTGATGACCCTTGGGAGTAAGTACTTAATTCCTTGTAGTTCATAGTGCCTAATATGTCAGCCATTCTGGTTTATTTTCTTAGTCTTGAATTTATAATTCCTTGCAGAGAATTTGTAAGCTGTGTCCAGAGCATAAAAATATTGTCATCTGCTGAGGTACAACAAATGAGCTTGGATGGGGATTTAGGTCAGATTCCAATCCCCAATCAAGCTTGTAGTGGGACAGAAGGTGGCAATGCATGGAGGGGACAGTATGATGAGAACACTGCTGCCTCATTTAATCGATAAGGATATCAAGTATTGACATTTTGGAGCAGTCAACTTGTATATTTTGAGAGATGGAGAGGACTAACTTAACCCTTAAAATTTCTTGTTGGTGCTTCTTTATATCACAAAATGGAAAGGAGACTTATTCATTTCAAGGGATGTGCAATTGATGGGGTATTGTATAAGAGGTGGATACATAATTGCATCCGGTTCTATATCAACAAACCGGTTTTAATGGTGAGAGAAAAGTTTAGATCCTTAGATGTACCAAGACCAGAATCCTTTAATGCTAGTGCTTGCTTAGGATTTCTCTCTCTATCTCTCTCTTGTTGGCAAGGTATAGCCATATAGGTCAGCTGGTGTATAATATATATGATCATTCTTATATTAAGAATATTTTTACTTACACTTCTGTAAATGTTTTGGTAAGTTAGGTAGCCATGTGATGACTGGGATAATCAACAATGCATGCCAATTCTATAGCTTTTGTACACACTGCCTACACTGTTTCTATGTGGGCAATTATGGAGAAGTTTATGATGGATGAAGAAAAAGTTCAGTTTTTTTTTAACCTTATTGCACTTTTAAGTATAGTGTGCTTCAGCTTGCAATTTATTTACTCCAAAGATAATGTTACTTGTCCTTTTTTCCTCATTTATTTTGTTTCTGTGACTTGTTTATGTATTGATCTATGATTGCCTCATAGGTTGGATCTGTGACATCAATGCTGCAGCTGACAAATAACGCAAGATCTTCACACTTGTATTGTGTTTGAATGAAATAAGTCATACGTGTCAATACGAAAATTTAAGTAAATAAACAATAAATTAAACATAATTTTCCAGTAAAAAAGATTAAAATAATGATAGCAATATTTTGAAAATTAAATTTAATGACCAAAAGAAAAAAATAAAGTAGGATAATATTATTTAAAGTAAGTTATTAAAGAAAAAAAGTAATAAATGTAAGTATAAAGAACTTAATAAATAAAAATAAACAATAAAAATAATGCTTCTAAAATTGAGAACATGAATTTGGTTAAATAAAGTGTAGGATATGCTATTAAAGATTTCTATAATTTGGGATTCAAAGTAAATATAAAATAATCAATTATGGATAATGATAATAAATTTCAAATTTCAAATTTAATAAGAAATAAAATATAGATAATGTAAGCAATAAAATCTAGTAAATAAAAAATAATCAATAAGGATAAAAATAATAAAATAGAAAATTTGACTTTTAATATATAGAAATAAAAAAAAAACCAGGATGAAGGTGCTAGTTAATTCAATTGGAGACTTGCTAAATGAAGTAATACGCCTTAATACAAAAAAATTTATAAAAAAAATTATCAAGAAAATACTCGTGACGTTCGAGATCGTGACATGACACAAGCAAAGAACAGTTTTATCACACTCCTATATATCCGTCTCAGACGATTACCCTGAAATTAATAATAATATTGTTAAATGAATAGCATAAAAATAATCAATTTATCTTCACAATAATAATAACACCTGCAAGATAAAGTTATCTCATATGATTCTAAGACACCACGACGTTTTGAGATTTAAAAAAAAAAAAAAAAGTATGTTCAAAAGTTTACTTTTTTTTGTATTATGGGATTTATTAAAATATCCTTTTTTTTTTCAAGCCCCAAAATAGTCGTTTTGGAATTGTAGTAGATAATTTTATCTCTAGAAATATTAATCCCAAAATTAAATTACTAACTTGGAATAAATAAATAAAAAAATTCAGAAAAAAACTTTCATTTCTCGGAGATTTGTGATTTTTATTTTATTTTATTTTATTTTGTATTTCTTATTTCTTATTTAGCTACCGTTAACCTACTAAAATTACTTCTATAACGAAAAATCTGAACTTCAATAAAAATACTCATTTGAACTAGGTCCAACCCAAAAACAAAAGAGAAAATTAATCCACAACCCAGCGAAAGCCCAGGACCCTCACACAATTACCAAATTCTAGGCTATAGATCTCTATAAGTGTAATTTATTTATAAAATTAGTTGAATGGATAGTCTGAATTTTTCCAACATATGATCCAGTTTGAATTTTGGGAATCACAAGAAATGTTTTTATGAAGCTTATAACTGAGTGCTTAAGTTGTGGAGTAAAAATGGGTCTAATATCCATGATGGATAGATATTGGGTTTTATAAGAGTTATGTTGTAAGAAAAGTGATTGTGTAATGTTATAGAGATTCGTTTTGCGTGCCTTAATTTTTTATTTATTTTTTTGTTTTAAAAAGTGTGGACCCCACAAAATGTTGTGAGTGTAGGAAAGTTTGTTGTGTTATGTTAAAGGATAAAACGAAACCCATAGATATTACGTTACTGAATTTTATTTTCTAGATTATAAATTTCCACTAGACTACATACGTTCACCACGTATGCACTGCTCCACCGAAAGACAATATTCTTGACTTAAAGAGATCAATCAATTGGTAAGATGAGTATAAATGACACACATTATTAATCATGATGTTCTAAACCTGGTACAGATACAATCAAATTTAACATGTTGCATTAATACCCAGATTGGTTTAAATTAAAGGATTTATGATTTATAAAAAGGAAAATACTACTCTCATTTTACATGAGGTAGTTATCTCATTTTCTCTCACATCGAAAATCGCACCCCTTCTTTTTTCTTTTTCTTTTTTACTTTTTAATGGTGGACCCCACTTAAACTCTCTCTATAGCATGAGATAATACTCTCATGTAACATAAGATTAATATTCCCCTTATAAAAATATTGTTTCTTGATCGAATAATGAGGCAGGTGGCTTTGTATTTTGTTCTCATAAACAGAGATTTAACAACTATGATTACTGATTTATTAATAAATGCGGAAAGTACGGAATTTTTTTATATTTCCAAAATATCAAATAAATCTACTTTTTTATCAAGTACTTCCTTCAAGACGCAATAAGAAAATTATTGAGATTTGAGAAAATACTATAGGAAGATGGCAGAGATCAATTCATTACTGAGTGTACCAAATCCGAAGAAAATGCAGATTGTCTAAGGAACATATCGCAATCAACTATATTTCAATTGTCATTACAATAAAAAAATCCACTTTCATTCGAGATGAACACAAAAAATTTAAGTTACAAAAACTCAAACCAGTTGTTCCTAAGAGAGGACAGCCATGACATCAGAGACCCTCAAGGTAATGTATTCAGAACCATCTTTGCCCTTGAAGTCATTCCCAGCGTATTTGGAGTACAAAACTGTGTTCCCAGGAGTAACAGACAAAGGTTTTTTGTTCCCTTCCTCATCCACAGACCCTGGACCAACCGCTATCACCTATAACATCCCAAGTATATTACAAAAGCATTCAGTCAAAGCATATTTGCTCCAAAGCAAAATATCCATGGAAAAAAAAAGACAACAATTGTGGTTGAGCACATTATTCTGGCTACACAAGCAATTTTTTGTTCTAGAGTAACGAAAAAATAAATAAATAAAAAGACTATGATAGGAAAGCTCACTGTTCCGATTGAAGGTTTCTCTTTAGTTGCCTCTGTAAGCAACAAGCCCCCTGCAGTTTTTTCCTCAGCTTCTGCAACCTGCAATCAATTTCTAATCAATCAGTAGCTACCATCAAAGTTATCACATACATCCAAGGGAAGCAAAAGTCCATAATGTCTTTAAATGCTAAACCTGTATAAAAATAAGGTTAACACAAATTATGACATGGCAGAACCTAAATACACCTAAAGCATTAGACAATTTACAAATATGATTTGACAAATGATCCAACACTGAAATAAGCAAAGCTCCAAAGAAGTACCTTTATGAGGATTCTATCATTCAAGGGTTTAAGATCCTTCACATCATCGGTTTCAAGGATACCAACAATGTCATCATCCTTTATAATAAGATGCTTTGTACCATTAAACTCCACCTCAGTACCTGCATACTTCGAATACACAACTTGTGTGCCAGTCTGTACATAGAAAATGCATCATATGATATTAGAAAGAACAGCACCAAGATAAATCATTAACGGTTTAATTAAACTACCAAACACAGCAACATTACCTTCACACTAATGTCCACTTTGCTCTTCCCAACTGTCTTTCCTTCTCCAACAGCAACCACCTCACCCCCTTGAGGCTTTGATTGTGCAGAAGTTGGAAGCAAAATCCCACCCTCGCTCTTCTCTTCAGCATCCTTAATTTTCACCAGTACTCTGTCACCCAGAGGCTTAATAGCTGTGTACTGCAAGTAAAACTATCACTCAGATACAAGTAGCACAGGAATATAAAAATAAATATTTTTTTTATAAAAAAAAACCAAAATTTGAAGATACAATCTCAGGACTTCTATATCAACAATAACCAGTGTTCTACTGTTCTGTTAAACATCCAAACAAATTGCTATTCCAAGAACAATTTTGCTAGTGCCAATAGTAACATTTAATATCACACAAACACTAATTACAAAACAAGTGTAACACTTTCTTCAGTGAAGAAGAGTATCAAATTGTAAGATAAAACTGTGGCATTGAAGTAGATTAGATAAAACACAACAGCAACAATGCAGCACGTTAGAGACAAAACTTTCAATTCATCTTTTTCACATAAATAAAAATAAAATTTTCTAAAAAGAAAAAAAAAAAAAAGAATAGACCTTGGGGGCAACAACAGTAGCAGCTTTAACAATCAAACCCCGGAAGGACCTTTGGGTGAAATTACCAATCCTAACACGACCAAAACAAGGAAACTGAACCGCTGAAGGTCGAAGCCCTTCAAATGATGTCACGTTCCTCGCTGAAATTGATGATGCTGTGAGCTGAACGGTGGCCATTGTTGGAACTTACACTGTTCATGTAAATGAATAAATGGATAAGAACAAGCATTATGAGTTGATAAAGAAGCATGTTGAGAAAGCAAAGCAGATAGCTTTAGCAGAAGAAGGGTCGATTTATTACCTTAGTCGACGAAGCACAGAGATTGTGGGTGTGAGGTAAGAAATTGAGAGGAAGTGGCGTTGAAAATTGAAACAATGAAGATAAAAACCCTAAACGAGATTGGGGGGTTTTATCTGATAACGGAGCCTTCTAGAACTAACTCGTGCACTCGTAGTGTGGGAGTGTGTTGCTCACGCTCTTTAGCCATGAGGGTCTTTTATAGAGATGTAAATGGGCCGTACGCTCTATCAAGGGGCTATAATTTGGCCTGTCTAAAGCCTGACCTTGTCAATTCTATTTTTTAAATAAAGTAGATTTAGATTTTTCTAAAAATAAGGTAGGTTTAGATTTTTAAAAAATTTTATTTCAAAATTAGGTTATAGGTCCACTTTAAAAAATCTGACTTAAAAGTATGTAGACTAGCCTTTTAATTTTTTAATAATATAATATATTTATGATATATATTGTTCACTTAAAATTATATTTTGAAATTATGATTTATAACACTAATTTCCAAAGCAATATGATTGATGTTATTTTAACAAATAATAATATTTATTTAAAATTTAAAATATAATATTAAATTAAATTAGTAAAGAAAGTGCAAATTATAATTATATATATATATATATAAGAAAAATATTTTTCAAGCATCTTGAGATATATTTATCTCCGTCCACTAAAAAACTACGTCGTTTTGTTTATTTATTTCCTTATATGAATTGATTCACTTTTAAATGATTATGAGTCCATTTTTCTCTTTCTTTCTTTATTACTATTGATCTATCTTTATATGGTTATGATTTAGTAGTAGAGATAAATAAAGTTATCTCAAGCAACTTGAGAAATGATAAGCCATATAAATATATGTATATATATATAGAGATATATTTTTCTTATGTTGTAGGAAAAAAATTACCTCATGTAAAATGAGATAAACATAACACACACATATATATAAATATATATATACTACTCTTATGTAATAGGAGATAGCATATCTTATGCTAAGACACAAAATGGTGGAGCCCATCATTAAAAAAGGAAAAAATGGCAGCACAACTACCGAAGGTCTATGACATAAAATACAAGTCTCTTACACACACACACACACACACACGCACACACACACACAGGGTTTAGTGAGTGTACAATGACTGGATACAAAATTTGGTCCAGTGCACTAAGTTCTCCCGCGATAACACAGTTATAGTAAATATTATAACTATATTCTCCCGGGAGAACACCTGGAAAACACCATTATAATATTAAGTGCAATAAGTTCTTGCGGGAGAACTTAGTGCACTGGACGGTCCAGTGACTGAATTTTCATTTTTTCCATATATATATATATATATATATATATATATATATATATATATATATACTACTCTTATGTAATAAGAGATAACATATCTTATGCTAAGACACAAAATGGTGGAGCCCACCATTAAAAAAAGAAAAAGAAAAATGGCAGCACAACTACCGAAGGTCTATGACATAAAATACAAGTCTCCTACAACATAAGACTTGCATTTCCTTATATATATATATATATATATATATATATATATATATATATATATATATATATATATATATATATATATATATATATAAGAAAAATATTTCTCCGGCAACTTAAGATAAGTTTATCTCCGGCCACCCCAAAACTACGTCATTTTATTTATTTATTTCTTTATATTAATTGATTCACCTTTGAATGGTTATGATTTTATTTTTCTCTCTCTTCCTTTATCACCATGATTCATCTTTGTACGGTTATGATTTAGTAGCCGGAGATAAAATTATAGATAAGTTTATCTCCTACCGCCCCAAAACTATGTCATTTTATTATTTATTTCTTTATATTAATTGATTCACTTTTGAATGGTTATGATTTTCTTTTTCTCTCTCTTCCTTTATCACCATTGATCCATCTTTGTATAGTTATGATTTAGTAACCAGAGATAAAATTATCTCAAGCAGCTTGAGAAACGATAAGCCTTATATATACACACACACGCACACGCACACACACATATATATATATATATAAAACTTGTGCTAAGATCCTTTGTCACCTCATCTGAGAGCCATTAGATAAAAAAAGATTAATGGTATGACATGCTTACAAATCAGAGTCATTGATCTTTTTTTATCTAATGACTCTTAGATGAGGTGTCAAACTTTAAATTTGACACTGGTGTCAAAAGATCCTGCCACATATAATTTTGTATTTTTTATAACCATTAATTTGTATTTTTCTTTTGGTAGCAATGTTTTCCTAATTAAGTTTTTAGGATAGATACGTACTTTGGGCTAAACCTCGAGGCTATTGGTTAAGGTGAACAATTTTGTGCTAGTTGATTAATATGAATGGGGATAACAAGACCATTTTTTAAAATAGTGATAATTTCATTTTATTATTAATATCTCATGATATCCTAATTGTATGTTAGAATGAATTAGAATATCTACAATAATTTTTTTAAATAAAAAAATAGAAAAAAAATAAAATTATAGAACAAAAAATAAAAATATGCTAGCTATAGCACATGCGAGGAATTCCAACTCCCGCTATATCATTCTAATTTTATAAATGTGAGAAATCTTGATTCTCCATTGTTTGTTCAAGCATATTTTTTAAACTTATAAATTAAAAGGTATAAGGGGTGACTGCTTTGGTAATCATTCAAAATGAGATCCATGGTAGCTATGAAGTCTCCTTCAAGCCATATCATGGTCGACCGCGCTGATTTCAGCTCAGTAGTGTAGGGCGTATCTACATTTCATGTATTACGCAGGAATGTGAACTTTATTTATGTTTATTCAGGCCTGTGGACTTCATTTATGTTTATGCAGGACCGTTTACTTTTCTTACTTTTAGTTAATACCGTGGACTTTTTTTATCTTGCAGGCAGCTTTGAATTGTACTTTATAGTTATGCCTGCCTGGGTATGCGATTATGTTTATGCACTTACACAACTTATACGCGTTTTTTTTTTCTTTTGGATGGTAAAGAATCATTTAATATTTATGCTCCATGTCTGATATTATAATACTAAATACGGAAACAACATCACTGGTTGAACATATAGTAGTACTTTAAGATGGAAACACATTACAAACACCATTATGACCAACCACACATGGTCACACAACCATTCATTGTTGTGGTTATTGGGGTGAGGGACAATGTCGCTTATTATGACCAACTACCCTACAATAATCGTATCTGCGAGTAGTATAGCCCTCCCGTGAATCCATTTCATTGTGTATACATGTACTTCTCGACCTTCCCCTTTGATGTCTCATCGAAACATCTGGTATGATTATTGCCTGCCTAGTTGGTGGTATGAAATCCTCGTTTCCAATTGGATACCAATGAGGAGAATATATTTGATATTGATACCCAGTACTATATGCAGGTTCTATGTATTGCGTGGGATCCTGGTACGTGGATGTGCATGCTGCTATGATATGGCTACACGAGAACCTGAAAGCAGTGAACTCACCACACTGACATGTTCGATCAGATAACAAAATCAACCATTTCTTATCGTCGCGATGAGTCCGAACGTTATACGACTCTTGTACTTCAAATTTGGTCCTCTGCACGTCGTAAGAAGTTACGTAATGTGTCGCGACTTTTCGTTGATTCTCTACATATGCTCGCCACATGACTTTGGCGAAGCGATTACCTCTCCCAATCTCTTCACGGGCTTCTTGGGCATGCTGCAAAAAGTATGTCACTAGTCTACCGTAAGCGATCCGCACCGGAAATAATAGGAAGGTTTCGCGCGCCTTTAAGAACTTTTTCAACACACTCTGAGAGATTTGTAGTCATGTGGCCGAACCTTCTTCCATGTTCATCGTAAGCGATACTCCACTTCTCTTTCTGGATGCGATCAATCCAGGCGGCTATTTGCGGGCTTGGTTCTTTAAATTTATCTAAACCTGCATCAAAGTCCATGCGCGATGTTGTATATCCTGCATACGGAAACATCACAAGAGCTTCGTTATAGCACGCAATGTAGTTATATTTTGGGATGTAAGAGATTCACATATACATACATACCTAACTTCTTCAATTGCTTCTTCAACATAACATTCTTGAACTTGTGATTGAAATTACTACCCACGTGGCGAAGGCAGTATACATGGTATGCCTGGGGTGGAGCCCATCCTAGATCAACGTTATTGACTACAGACAAGATGCCCGGATGCCGATCAGAAATAAGACAGATTCTGTGTTTTTGAGTAACATGTATCCGGATAAGTGCTAAGAACCACGACCAGTTGTCAATATTCTCCCCAAAAATGATAGCAAATGCAATTGGAAGAATGTAATTGTTGCCATCAACTGCTGTAACAAACATGAGGGTTCCCCGATATTTTCCATACAGGTGGGTACCATTGATCTGGATAATCGGCTTGCAATAATTGAAAGCATCACAACACTGTTTAAATGTCCAAAACACCCTCTTGAACACCTTATAAGCTTGATCGAGGCACCCATCAATGAAATGGTCACGTAAATCCAGCTTATAGGAGGACCCTGGAGAAAAACGCAACATGTAATCCAACCATCTTGGTAGGAACGCATAGAGCTCTTCCCAGTTCCCGAAGACTTTAACAATAGCCTTTTGCTTTGCCTTCCATGCCTTCCTATAAGATATATGGAATCCAAGATTTGTTGCTATCTTTTCTTGGATTAACCTAATTTTAACACTGGGCTCTTCTCTTATCATTTTTGTATTTGGTCAAACAAGATTGTATTAGTAAAGATAACAAAAATTTTAAATTTACTAAACACAATTTTACGCACCTAAGATCAATGAACATATGATATTTGAGTCCAACTGCTTGTGATCTTGGGTAAGAATTTGACTAACACATGTCTATTCGTTGTTCTATATGCCTATAACCCATTCAGTGCCACCTTTTTTAAGGTATGCCCTCATCCTCCATGGACAAACTGTCGTTATGATTTGACAAACCATTATTAGCCTTTTCGTATCACTTTTTTCTACAACTGTTGTGCGGTGATTCGCCATACATCTGTACATCCTGCTTGCTATCAAACACTTGGTCCTTATATAGCTCTTGACCCATCTGTCAGTTAGGTATTTACGCTCCATGCATATCATCCAACTCCTGATTTGGGTATTCCCAATTAATATTCGTGTAATGGTTATTTAAGACCAAAATGGTACACTATCATTTCCTGCATAATCACATTTCGAAAACAATATTTTGTATCATTTAACGATAAATTACATAAGCAATAATAAACCATTATGCTTACATACCTACATCCTGCTTGCTATCAAACATTTGCTCCTTATATAGCTCTTGACCCATCTGTCAGTTAGGTATTTGGACTCAATGCATATCATCCAACTCCTGATCTGGGTATTCCCAATTAATATTCATGTAATGGCTTATTTAAGACCAAAATGGTACACTATCATTTCCTGCATAATCACATTTCGAAAACAATATTTTGTGTCATTTAACGATAAATTACATAAGCAATAATAAACCATTATGCTTACATACCTGCAACTGGCGGGTCTTGCATTCCGACAATGCCTGGAGAAGGAATTGGTTGACCAACTGCAGTAGACGGACAACAATCAAAATCACCATCGACATTCGTATCTGATGACTCGCTATCCGAAACAAGACCTTCGTCCAGCTCTTCATCGAAATAATCCGTACGCCAAACTGGATCATACATGTCGTGGGCCGGCAAGATTTCATCACAAATTTGTTGAGTTGGTGGTGCAGGCGGGAGTGACGTATAACACCTTACATTTATAAATCATATATTTATATATTAAATGTGGATTAAAGGGTAGGATTAGTGAAAATCCTGAAATTAGGGTCAAAATACAAAGGAAGGGTAAAACGGTAATTAGCCAAGCACGTAACCCTGGGAAAGTGAAATTGAGTAGGAGGTCTCAAATGGGAAAACTAACCGTGGAAATGGATTCAGAACGAAAAATTGAGTGGTTAGACAAGTTTCTGAAAATTTGGTGAATAATGTTTTTACCGGGTAAAAATATCGCGATACAATTGCACCGCAAAGCGTGTCGAATGAATTTTGAGCTCTAGATTTGAATATAAGTTATAAATGATACATAGGACTAGAAAATATGATTTCTAGTGGAAATTGATGGAAATTAGAGTGTTTGGGGAAGCGTGCCCACAACGCACATAACAACTTAAAACTGTGATTTCTCTGAACGACCGGAAAACTCCGGATTCATCTGATCAAGTTTAATTAAAGGACAATGGTTAATGTTAAAAGTTAGAGTTTTTAAATAGTTTATTAAATTACGGACGTTTAGCGGAATAGGCGTGAAATTTGAATTAGTTTGAAATTGTAACACCTCGTGTGTACCCGAATTTTTATCATGTCATCGTATTAAGCTTTGCTTAGTTAAAAATGCGGAATAAACTTTTTCTTTTTAATTATGACGTCATTATCAATTACCAAGTTGATTACTTAATCTTTGTAAAAATATTGCATGTATGTAATTGTAAATAAACAGCTATCTACACTGAATAACCTCATAGAATAAATATGTGAGTATCTAAGTCACAGATCTACAACACGTAGTCCGGACATAATCCTGATACATTAATACAACTCAAATCCAAATAAGACATAGTCAATCAATGTGGCATGGACAACCCCCATGCTCACCAAATAAGGCAACAAAGTCCAACAGAGTCTCAACAACAACAACATGATAATAAATATAAAGCATGTCAACATCCAAGCATAATCCAAGCATATCATCATAATCAGCATATCACTAACTCAGCTCCGGCCTCCTGCTGCTTGAGGTCTCAACCCCTGAGTTACCTGAACCTGAAATATGTGCCCCAAACGTGGGGTGAGATCTCTAAACAGAAATCTCAGTAAGACAAGGGGTCCTCAAGGATTTCTCCACCCCACGCTCACTTACATGTGCAGTATAAGTTCAAAAGCAGGAATATAATATAAGTTCCAAAATCAGTGTAATGCAGCAGAATAATCATGTCACGTGTGTCAACTATTCTACTGGCTAGAGAAATGCAGGGTTTACATACGTCTATTAGCTACATTTAGTGCAAGTCACTACTTGCACCCACCCACAGAATCACCCTATGGTATGTCTCCTACATACACAGGCTTACCGTCTAGGTGAAACAACACATGCATATTATAAGCACTTGCACATAACAGTTCAACAACATTTCAAAATCAATACATGAAAACACATCATGCATATAAATCATCCCCCCATGGGGTATGGTGGAACCAACAATGGCTAAACCGAGGACACGAAAGCTTACCTCGCAAGCTAACTATCCAACCAAGATTCCAACCAAGCTCAAAGTCCACAAACAGCAGAATCACAATCTGTTTTAGACCAGCAATATCATCAATAACTATACTCTACAAGTCTATGACATAAAGACAACGTTTTTCTTTACGTTTCATGTCTTTAGGCTTCTCACAAAGCCATAAGCCCTTAATCACTTGATTCTGACTTAGTTAATTATTACAGAGGTTCAGCGTAACCAATCATGGGTCCATAAACCCATAATGCAGTTCTGTCTGAACAGAACTGTTACTGTCTCGAAATTCCCAGAATATCCGGATATTTGTCGGGGCCATATCCGAATATCCATATCCGGATATCTCCAACCCCATATCCGGATATCAATATCCGAATATTTCCAACCCCATATCCGGATACCAATATCCGGATATTATATCCGGATATTTCGCGACAGAATGAGTTTCTGCATTTCGCGAGATATCACTCCCAAGGTTCCATTTTTAACACCTTAATACGTCCAAGCATGCATCTTTAAGCCTCTTTAGACCAGTTATCATGTTGGTTACTTGTTCATCTTATTAAACATGCCAAGGCTTTATTTTTAACTAAGGAAACTCATGATCAAGGTTGATGAACTTACCCAAGGCTTCAAAATAGAAACAAGGTGACTCTAGGAGCTCTCTCACCAGCCTCAAAGTTCAGAGCACACAAGGACACGAAAATGGCACACAAGCAAGGTCCTTTCTTTCCAAAGGTGGCTCCTTGAAGCCACACAAGAAAGGAACAATGGCTCCTTCCCCACAAAACAATGAAGTCAGCCTTCAAGCACTCAAAGACAGAACCTCAACCTCAGAAAATGGCTTACTCACACCCTCACAAGGTTGCCCTCAAGTGTAAAGAAAGCTAAGGAGGAAGAATCTAAGGCAAAAATGGTGTCTTGGAGGTTTTTACATGCATGGAGAACAAGGAAGAAGGTGGCAGCAGTCCACACTCAGCAACTCCACGCAAGAGGCACAAAAAATGACCTAGGATCATGTGTCAAGGCCTTTTATAGTCCACTTAAGTCTTAATCGCACTGTATTAGCGCTAATAGCTACACTTAGCATTTTAACCCCAAACTTAGGACTCTGAACCTAGCCATTTTTCCAAGATTTTTCATATTTTTATTTTATTTTTCGCAGTACTTTTCCTGTACGCGCTTTTACATAGCCAGTATCAGTTCTGACACCAGTTCTCATTATTTTGACCTGAAACTTGTTATGCTAGTCCTATATATTATTCTAATGACATATACATACTTTTCATAATTTTTCGTGATACTTCATCGGTACACATTTATAGCGTGGAACAGAACCGTTATCTGCACTTTTCGTCAGAAAAGCGACTTTCAACATTATTAATCACTTACCATAATTATTTAAGCCTTCTCATAATTATTATGGTTAATTATGGAATTATCTCATTAATCTCATAATTAATTGATTAAATTCCTAATTTAACGGTGCAGGTTCTTACAGAAATCACGTGAGGTGGCGGTGGGACCCACCTCACTTAAGTGGACTTAGCCACCGCAACCCCCACCATGGAAGGCCAAGTTTTCTTCCAAAACTTCATCCTCTCATAACTCACTCAATACTCACTCAAATTCAACAAAGTTTGTCACCAAAGTTGAAGAAAATCATCATCCAAACACAACCATGGTAGTCTTGAGTCTTGAAACTCACTAAATTGGGAGAAAATCTCCATATACAGCCGCGACCTAAGTGGGAGATTTGGAGTTCTTGAGCTTTGTGTTCAAGCTTTTGATTTGGTATCACTTGGAGGAGTCTTAGGCCAAGCTTGTGGGTAAGTTTTAACACTTTTGATTAGTTGAATCATGAATTTTGAATTTGGTGACCTAGGGTTGGTTTGTATGAATTGATGTAGTTAGAGAGCTCAAATTGAAATTGTGTATTATATAAAAGTGGCTTAGAATGATGTTTTAGAGTGATAGAAATTATAAAAATTATTGGTGAATTATTTGGTAACTTAGGCAATTTTGGAGTTGATGATTCATCACTTTGTGAAATGACTTTGTATAATGGTTGTGTAATTGAGTTGTGAAGAGTTTGTATGAGTTAATTATGAGATTGTAAGGTGTGTGGAAGTGTTAAATTGGATTGAATACCCTTTGGTTGTTGGGCTTGAAGAATTCGACCATTATAGGGTATATTGGGCTTGATGATGCAAAAATTATTTAATGGATGTTGTATGATTAAAAATGGTGTTTAAATAAGTTGTGTGTGGAGTTGATGCATTGGAAATTGAAGGAAAAGTACTTGGAGTGTGTGAGGGTGTGCATTCGAACCTTTAAAGAAAATTAAGGAAAATTGGTGCTAGGATTATTGTACATTGAAATTAGGACTTAAATG